TAATGTGTTTGAGGTAAGTTTGAATTTTATTTTTTTCTTTAATTACTTAGAATGTTTAGATTCCTAATATTTAGGAAAACAGGGAGAAATGCAGTGGCTGCTGTTTAAAACTTTTCCATGCTAACAACTGGACTCTTTTTCTTCTTTTCTATTACAGAGTAGTGAAATGGACTAGCAGCTTTGATGTCCCCCTGCCCCACCCTCCCAGTTCCGTTACCTCTTTATAAAATAACTATTGAGGGATAAAATGATTTTTACATTAAAGCAGCCAACACTTTCTTTTCTTTGATTCTTCAGAATGAGGAACGCTTACGACAGTCAGTTGAATTACTGGGAAAAGCCTCCAGACTGCTGGTACGAGGACGCAGGTACATCTTTCAAAACTATATTTTTGTGTGTCCATGAATACTATGAATCTACATTTCGAACTGGTAAGTAATTTTGTGGATAGCTTCTTTATCTTTGGTATAAGCCATATAGACACACCAGGCCACCCAGGACGAAAAAGGTTTGCTGTTTTTCGGAAGTGTAATGCCAAAATTTATCATGGATTGTGCTTTTATTGGTTAAGACGTGGCTCAGTGGGATGAGAAAGAACAGTTTTCTGAATGAATCTGTTATTTGGTTAAATTATAACCTCTCTCTTGAGGAAAAATACATATATGGAGATAAATGATAAAGATGCCTAAATGCTAACCTGTTCTTGACAGCCAGGTAATGTCATTAAATAGAGTATTTACTTCTTTATCCTTTAGACATGTAATCTAAGGCATGAATAGCGGGACACCATAAAGCTAGAATCCTATTGAATTTTCCTTTTATTTTTTTCCTTTACCTCGTTTTATGCTTAGACAGCAATTTTTGCCATTAATAAAATTGTGTTTGCCAAGTTTTCATTTAATAATATTTAAGATAAATACCTTCAGGAAACTGTAAGTCTGGAGATAGATATTTTAATTGAAACTTGCCCATAACTATCCAGTGACAGAAAAAGATTCAAGATATGTTTAGTCAAACAGTCAAAATAGAAATGACTGGTGAAACGAT